AGGGATGTGTGTGTCCTTCTCAATGTTTAACTTGGGGTGTCATTGGTAGGCTTTATTTTATTGGACTCAGATTTTATTTTACTTTATAATTCGTTCTCTCGTTTCTAGTTGTGCTTTTTTTTTCCCTCCTAATATTATTCAGTGGCCAGGATCTAGCCATATTTAGAAAGTTGGTTTGCTGAAAATTTCCATGTCATCCTAATCTCCCTGCCCTGTTTTCTCCCTTTTCTCATGAAACCATCAGTGACAAAAACTGTGTTTTCATTTATGCACACATACAGCTATATATATACTCACAACCATTTCTCTAAAGTATTGACTAGTCTTGGTAAAATTTTTTTCAAAGAAGGATTTTGCTTGTTTTAGATGTTTATAATTGATAACTTTTACACAACAATTTAATTCTTAATCACCCTCTACATTCCTATGATTAAAGTATGAGTGACCATTTCATGGTTTAATTAAATGATGTTTTTCAAGATTATTTATTTCTTGATCATTTATATTTCCAGGGTTCTCAAAATGTGGCCTCCATCATTTTGGGACATTGTTTTAACTATTAGAAATAGATCATGGGAATATCCAATGTGTACAGACCTTATTTTACTGTAATGCCAAAAGATTGAATAATAATTTAGATTGGGAATCCATGAGATCATCTAGAGTTATTTTTCTAGTTCTGGAACTTTCTTAGGGTCATGGGAAGACTGTCACCAATCTTCTGTTGAGGTAAGTGTAAAGTTCACTATCCTGGTTTATATTAGTTTTCTGAGGCTGTTGTGGACCTTCTCACATTTTCACTATACACTTTGTAATATTAATAAACATTCACATTTGTTCAACTAATACTTACTAATTGTGAAACAAAATGAGTCCTACAATGCTTATCAGATACTTGAGAAAAAGATTTTTTTCTACAAATCAGAGGTACCTTGACAACTCGGTACTTATAAATGAGCACACTGTTTTCTTTGTCCTTCATTTAGAAGAAGGGAAAGGTAAATTCTTGAGTTTTGGTCCTTTCTTAGAATAGTTTTTCAACACTAGGAAATTCTCTGTAATCTTTCAGACAGAATTTTACACAAAACATACCAAATAATTAAGAACCCAGTTAAATATTGAGTGTTCTCTGTGCTCTAGGCCCAGTTCTAGTCTCCAGAGATATAAAAATAAGTCTAGTTTCTGCCCTCATATACTTAACAGACTATTAGAAAATATTTCCTTATCCAGAATTATTGAAAAAAAAATTTTTAAACCTCTAATTTAGAACATAGTACCCAATCTTATTCTTCTTTTCTGTATTTAGTGGCAACTGAAAATAGCTCTTGCTTAGCTTACAGAAAAGATCCTTGAGATTCTCATGAAGGTTATTAGTGAAATAGTCTTTTTTTCTGCACAGTGTGTTCTAACTCATTTAACATTTCTGCACAGAATCCCTAGCTAGATCTACATACCTATAGATACCATGAGAAGGTATAGATAGTGGATAATTTTATATGTTAGAATAGAATGGAAATGATCTAAAAATCACTTTTAAATGATACTATATGGGCAGTAGTCTCAATATTGTGAAGTTAATATCTTTCTCCTTGAAGAAATATGGAAAGATCTGATTATTGTAATAAATAGAAATAAAATTTATCATCTTGGTCTGTACCAATTTTGCGTTTTAAATGAGTGTGCTCAGCCCTGATAAGTAATAGGAAACCTCAAGACTGTGTCTTATGTTAAATGGGTTATAGTTGTTGATAGGTAATTCTATGACTTCTGACTGGGAAGGAATCTCCTGTGTTTAAGTCTTACAAATTTTGTACTTTAGATTGAGAATAGGTATTTCACTGTGATGCATCTTTGGAATTTGGAGGTCACGGTGTCTCCTCTACCTCTGAATTCCGGATAGGGACTGCCTGCTCAGGGCAGGCATACTTGTTTATTTTGGAATAGGAAGTGCCATTGTTGCTGATTACTCATTGTGGTTGGCACTGGTTATAGATAGCAAGTCTGGGACAACCTATGTAATGTGTTGGAACTGGGTGAAGGACTATCCTATTTAAATGACTTTTTAAAAAATAACCTTTTCTGTGATGAGCAAATGGGCAACCATGCTTAGAATACAGGCAGCTGTTCACACTTTGCCTTCTATGATTCTTGGGCTTCCTGGAGTCCAATGTTATGGCACAGGTTCAGGCTAAGTTCATTTCTACAAGAAACATCTCTGTACCCTGCCCATTTAGCATACGTTAGGGACAAGGGCAGTCAAAGGTCAAGAGAAGTTCAAACAGTATAACCTTTCTGTGCTTCTCTTTTCAAGTAACCCTAGTCTGCCCTGCTCCTCAAGTTTTTCCCTCAGCCATCATGCTTACTGTGTAGCTGTAAAACTCAAGAGAACAAGGACCAACTTGATACAGGGGAAGTTAGAATAGAAGTCATTGTTGCTTAAAACAGGAGAAAATTGATTTATGTTTGGGGGCCAATTAGGCTATAAAACAGGAATAGTAAAGGGACCTGTGACTTTAGGACAGCTACTTGGGGCTCTGATTTCTGTCCTACAGACAAGGGACTCCCCAATAAAGGCTGTAAGCTTTCTAGGCTAAATTATTAATTCCTTTCATGCCTCTCAAGGATTGTAAACAGCACATAATACAGGAAAACAATTGATACTGTTCAGTTATTGGCCAGATAGAGGGTCAAAGGGTAAATAGTTGGATTAGCAACAGCTGTTCTTCCTCCTTAGGCTTTTGTACCTTATTATCTATTTCTG